TCCACCGATAGCCCAAAGCAGTTATCTCTAAACAAATAGTAAATTTATCTAACAGATAAAATATTGACATTTTCATAGGTGAGTGATTAAATTATCCAAATACATCTTTCAATCTCATAATTTCTCAATTTCATGAATATCAACTCAGTTTCATATTTCCGCATTTTCCCAAATTAATTATACAAATTAATTTATTATAAAAATTAGGGCATTCACCATTTTTCTCAAATATTGATCCTAAGACCAAATTCCACCAATTTAACTCTCAAACTCATATTTCCAAGGCCTTAAATACACATGGAGTTATTAAACACAAAACGCCTCTTTTATAAATTACAAACCAAACCCTAACTTTCTCTAAAATTACCTAACAACACCAACTAATCAAAATGACAAATATTTAAGTCAAAACCCATAAGAAGGAGTAGGATATCCCTACCTCAAAGTGAGAGACCAAATGGAGAAGATGGTGAAAACCCAAAGTGCTCCAAATCCACTATTCTTCAGATTAAAACGAAGCCCGTGCCACCCTCTACCTTTCTTACAAAGAGACTAGGGTAGAAACACTCAAAAACTAGATGCAACCCTAGAGAGAATGTGTGTGTAGAGAGAGAGGGAGCCGGGTCTAGGGTTTGGAATGAAATGTGTATCAAAAGTGAGGGAGATGGCTGCTGCTATCTATTGATATATTCGAAACTCGCTCAAGCGAAGGAGTGGTCGCTCGAGCGACCAGACACAAGGAACCCTCACTCGAGCGTAGAAAGCCTCGCTCGAGCCAACAATTCGAAGCTTCAGGTCTGCAACCCAGAAGCACGCTCGAGCGAAGAAGAGCTCGCTCGAGCGAAGAAACCCAAAACATACAGTTCGCTCGCTCGAGCAATGGAAAGCTCGCTCGAGCCAAGAATCACGACCTTCAGGTTCAGAACCAGACACAGACACATGCTCGAGTGCAAGACTTCTCACTCGAGCCACTAGACACATCACCCAACTCTCGCTCGAGCGAAGGAACCCTGGCTCGAGCGAAGGATCTAAAACACAGATTTCGCTCGAGCGAAGGAACAAAATTCTGGGCAGTAACTATATGTTCAAACTCACTACCTACTTGTGACAAACCTGTCCAACACATCCTAAAACTCCAATACAAAGAATTAAAGGACGGAAAAAAACAAATACAACAATTGACATCTATGGAACCGAGTCCGGATTACAATAACCAATGGAGGGAAAACCGGGATTGCTATAACGCTCGAGCGTCCAACGACCTGCAGAACAAAATACTGAGATAGGAAAAATCACGCTCGAGCGTTAAAACACCCGCTCGAGCGGAGAAGCAATAACAAGGGCCCGCTCGAGCGTCAAAAGCCCCGCTCGAGTGTGAAGGCCAAAATCTGGGCATCAATTTTTGGCTTCAAAACACAACCAACCTGTTATAATCCTGCCCAACTCAACCCAAGACTCAAATATAAAGAGTAAAGGATAGAAATGAGAATATGACAACCACACACACACAGAACCAAGTCCGGAGTACAATAAACAAAGAAAGGGAAAACTGGGATCGCTGTAAATTATGTATTTTCTCCTTAGGTGGTTTATGAAGCAAAATAAATTGGATTGTCCTTTTCACTAAATAAGGGTCCAATGAAGGGGTTTTGGCTAAAATTTTCAAGTCTTTTTTACTTCTCTCATACCTACTACTGCACTCTTTTCAACTTTTCCCATACACTATGGTTAGTGATGAGATTGTTTAATTATTTTTTATAAAAAAATCTTAAAAAATAATTTATATATTAAAAAATATCTAAAACAAATATAAATTCTTATTAAAAAATAACAGGTTGCAATTGCGAAAAAAAGAAAAAAAAATTGCACTGTGCATTTCATTAATAATGCTCAAAAGATGTGCTAAGTGTATTTTTTCCTTAGGGGGTTTATGAAGCAAAATAAATTGGATTGTCATTTTCACTAAATAAGGGTCCAATGAAGGGGTTTTGGCTAAATTTTTCAAGCCTTTTTGACTTCTCTCATACCTACTACCGCACACTTTTCAATTTCTTTCATACACTATGGTTAGTGATGAGATTGTTTAATTATTTTTTATAAAAAAAATCTTAAAAAATAATTTATATATTAAAAAATATCTAAAATAAATATAAATTCTTATTAAAAAATAACAGGTTGCAATTGCGAAAAATAAATAAATTTTGCACTGTGCATTCCATTAATAATGCTCAAAAGATGTGCCAAGTGTTTGTGTAAAGGCTTGGCACATGTCCACTCTCAAATTATCAAGTGAATATAGATGAAATCCAAGAACTCAACTTTAACCACTATAAGAAAAGAGACTTTATAACACGGAAGCATTTGAGACGGCATCACTTATCGTCGTAAAAGGTGATTTTTTGCGACGGCACCACTTGCCGTCCCCAATAAATGGGTTTTTAGCGACGGCACCCTTTCATGTCACAAAAAAAAACTTTTTTTAGATGGTAACAACTGTCGTCGCAAATAATGCGCATTTTTTGCGACGGTAACCTATGCTGTCACAAATAAAGCAATTTTTTGTGACGGCATGAACTGCAGTTGCAAATAAGAGAGTTTTTTGCAACGGTAATAAGTACCGTCGCAAAAAAAAAAAAAAAAAAAAATGTTTTGATGAGACGTCATTGGAAGTATTAACGACGACATTTTGCCGTCACAAAAAACTGAAATTTTTGTAGTGTTTCACCCATTGTTTCATCTTCCCGTCTCTCTGTCTCTCTCTATCTCTCTCTCTCTCTTTCACTCATCTCTCTTCTTTTTCTCTTTTTCTCTCTCACGCATCACTCTTTGTCTTTCTGTTTGTGTCTTTCTCTTTCTCTCTTTCTCTTCCTCTCTCTCTCTCTCTCTCTTCTACACTGTGCTCGCGTTGCTCACTGTATCCCTCATTTCTTCTCGATTTACCGATCTCCCTCTTGATTTATTGATCTATTTTTTTTTCTCTCTCTCTTCTTTCAATCGCTCATCTCTAGTTTCTCTTAATCACTTGTTGAAAGAGAAAAAAGTCAAAAAATGAAATGGGCCTCTCTTTCTCTCTTTGTCTCTCGTTCATCTCTCTTCTCTCTCTCTCTCTTTATCTCTTATCTCTTTTTCACTCATCACTCTTCTCTATGGCTCTCTCATCTCTCTCCGTTCTCTATCTCTCTTGCTCATCTTTCTTCTCTCTCTCCTTCTATGTCTCTCTCTATATCTTTTATTTATCTCTTTTTACTGTCTCTCTCTCTCTCTGTCTATCTCTTGCTCATCTTGTTTCTCTCTCTTTTCTCTCTCTCTTTGTGTTTCTCTCTCTCACTCATCACTCTTCTCTCTGGCTCTCTCATCTCTCTTGCTCATCTTTCTTCTCTTTTCCTCTCTCTTTATATCTCTTATTCATCTCTTTTTGCTCTCTCTCTCTCTTTGTCTATCTCTCACTTATCTTGTTTCTCTCTTCTTTTTTTTTTCTCTCTGTCTCTCTCTCATTCATCTTTCTTCTCTCTCAATCGTTCATTTCTTTTAATGACACTCATCTCTTTCTTTGAGCCCATTGTTGTTGAAAGAGGAAAAAGTCAAAAAATGAAATGTGTCTCTCTCTTTCTGTCTCGCTCGCTCATCTCTCTTCTCTCTCTCTCTCCCTCGTCTCTCTTCTCTATCTTTCTCACTTATCTCTCATCTCTATCTCTCTCATATCTCTTTGTCTCTCTTGCTCATCTCTCTTTTTCTTTTTTTTATGTCTTTCTCTATATCTCTTTCGTTCATCTCTTTTTCTCTCTCTTTTTCTCTTTCTCTCGCTAATCATTTTTTGTTTCTCTCTTATTTTTCGTTTCTCTCTCTTCCAAGCTTTCATTGCACAACAAAATGGACGCAGAGGTTTTTGGCAAAAAAATGATTTTTTCTTGCTACGGCAACCTTTCCCCGTCTCAAATACAAGTTATCAGCGACGGTAATACCCCCGTCGTTTTCAATTTTCAGTTTATATTTTCAAAAATTTTCAAAACTATCATAAAAACTTGTTTGATAATTTTTTTGGTTTATAAATGGTTATCTCAGTTTATAAATTTGAGGAAAAATTGTAAACTCAAAAAATGAGTTTACGTTGATTTTTAAATAGAAATTAAAAAATTTGACTAACAAATTTTTTTTTTTCAATTAATTTTTTTCAAATTATTTTTTGCAATTAATTTTTTTTTCAATTAATTATTTTTCAAATAATTTTTTTCCAATCAATTTTTTTTAATTAATTTTTTTTTTCCAATTATAATGTGTATGATCCCATTGTCATAAATAATAATAAAAAATAAACATAAATATTTTAAGTCTAAACAAATATATTTTTTAGTTTATATTTTTAAATTTTTTAAAACATTTTATTTAAACCAAACGCATTTATAATTTATATTTTTCTAAAATAAACAAAAATCAATTTATAAAATCCCAAATCTTTTGAACCAATTTCGCGCTTGTTTTTCCCCTTCAACCAAAAATCCCCAAATCTCAAATCCCTAATCTTTTGAACCAAAAATCCCCATTTCTCTCTCTCTCTTGTGACTGTGAGCAGGGCAGACGACATCGTCGAGCGACGGCGAGCAGCGGCAGACGACGGCGTCGAGCAACGGCAGCGACAACGTGAGACGGCATCGAGCAGCAGATAAACTTTATATATCTCTTGGGGAGGTGTTTGGTAAGATCGTTCTACATCTTTATATATGTCTCTTGAGAATAGATTATCGAGTTTCTGCTTATATTTTACAGGAGTTATATGGAAAGGGGATAAACTGATAGATTGATATGCTTCGGACAAAGTTTTGTATTTTTTTTATGAACTTGTACATGTCAAGCAAATGAACATTATATTTTAATGGCTTTAATTTCTGTTACCTCTTTTTATTGACTTAGTTTTGAGATGATGATAATAAATCTAATGAAGCTATATTTTTCTCTATATGACCGTCGAAAATTTTAATATAAATGCATTGCTTTGTGTGCTAAGCCAGTTTTTAGTTTCTTTCTTCTTCAGGGATAGAGAAGAGGTTAGTCTTTGTTACCAACAACTCCACTAAGTCCAGGAAACAGTATGGGAAAAAGTTTGAAGCACTTGGTCTTAATGTCAGTGAGGTTAGTTCAAGGTTCTTGCTTTCTAAATTATCAAACAGTATGCATCAATATAATCTATCAACAACTGAATGTTTCAGGAAGAAATTTTTGCGTCATCTTTTGTTGCTGCAGCATATTTGAAGTCCATTGGCTTCCCGAAAGATAAAAAGGTATGCAAAATAGAAATTCATATTTCCTAACTAAGTGATGAGTAGAAAGTTGAAATCTAATTTCTGTCCAATGGAAATGATTTTCTATCATCAGCTATCCATATATATTCCAAAAGCAGATATTATAGTGTTGATTAAACGGACAGATTTCTTTTTACGCGTAGTCATGTTTCTAGATGTACCTTACCCTCTAAATTTTGTAAAAGGGTGGAGGCAAATATGTATTTGTATGTATACCTATCTATTAGATATTAATTAAGTTTCTATTACTCTAATAGATTTGCCATTGTCTTTAGTTTCATAGTGATTAAATCCAACATGCCCACCAGATTGTAGTTTCATTGCAACTTGCAGACTATTGCCACAATTGATGAATTTTGCATTCATTTTAGGATTCATGTTTCATTTTTGTATTTCTAATTATCTGTCATTTCAATGACTGAACATTATTATCTTATATTATTTTTTTTCTTTAATATATATATGTATATAAAATTGCTTTATATACTTGTTCTAAAGTTCTATAGCAGGCTGCATAGCCATGACCTTTTGGCTAGGGTTAAACATGATTTTCTCATTTGATGGACCACCTCTGGGCAATTTCTTTTAATATGAAGTTTATCTGTTAATTCGTATTAGCGTATAAAGGTTGATTGAATGTAAATGCCTACTTGCAGCTTCTTGTACATGTACAGGCATAAGTTTTGATCCTGTTACAAAGACTGAGGATTTTGCTGCCCTAGGATGCTTTGATCCTAGCTCATTTGAAACCCTAACACTGTCATGAAGAAAAAAAAATTAGATCAATAGCTTGCAATGGAATTTGATAGGGAAATTAAATGTCAAAAGAGAATCAATAAATGTGACATAAATTTTTTTACAAAAGTGCATAGAATGCGGTTAGGATATCCCGCTATTGCATGCATTCTGCGTATTTTTTTGAAAATTTATAGTAGCACTTAAGAAAAATTCTAAAGAGCGATACAACACAATGGAATTTGAAAGGGAAATAAAATATATATGTGAAGAGGAGAACAAAAAAATGCTAGCGAGGGATATGGATTTTTTTATTATTATTTTTTTAAATTGTACATGTAGTCAGGATGAATGTAGTGTTTTAATCTGAGCTCGTTTGAAACCCTAACATTGTCATGGAGAAAAGAAAAAAAAATCATTGAAAAGAAACCAAGAAAAATAATTAGATCAATACCGCGCAATTTTACACATAAAATTTTTCAAGAAAGTGAACAGAATATAGCTAAAATTCCAGGGAATTTACCTGTTTCAAGAGAGCAATGTAACACAGAATGAATGATCCTTTGCCTTCTAAGAAACAAATGTGAATTGGTTTGAGTTTCAATCAAGGTTGGAAACAATCACTGACCTTTTTTCTCAGTCTTCTTAATTTTTGACCAATTTGTTGTTTCGTCTCTTAGTAGCTCATTAACTGCATGGTCTTAAATGTTGGAATCATGTATACTTTTGGATGTTCTGCCACTGTCTTGGAGATCTATTTTTGCTTGTTAATATTCTAAACACTTTTGCTGAAACAATTGATCGTGTAGTGTTGACATCTTAGATACCTATCATTGCATATTCCCGGAAGTGATGCACTTGTTATTGTTTTAGTTTTCCTTTTCTGTACTTCTTTATTTACATGTTCGCAATTACAAATGCAAACTATTGACTCATTTCAATCATTTCAATTCGTTATATGTTTGGATCAATATTGGATGATGTTTTATTATTATTATTATTATTATTATTAGTATCTGATTGAGTGATTTTTTTTTTGTGATTATAGGATCTGCAAAGACACTAGTGAGTACTAAACATAGGACTGGAGGTGGCACTGGCAGTGGAAACAACAAGGTAATTGCTTACACTCAGTTGTTATTTTTTTATTTTTTATTTTATTTGTTATGTTTTTAGTCATTAGTTTTGTATTTGGGAATCTGAAAAGTTCATAAATTTTGGATTTTTTTTACTACCTTATGGGGTGAATTAGGCTGTCTTGAAATTGTATTTGTCATCCCTATAGCGATTACGCGAGTAAACAAAATTTGGTAAGAAAATGTGGTCATTCTAAATAAACATAGCTTGTCTCTGATTATTATTTTTTTTTATTTTTTAAGGTTTCTCATAAACTTAGCTGAACCAGTGTATTAGGCCTGATTGCAAGAGGATGATTGTTATCCTTGGTTCTCTTAATGTGAGGATTTTTTTTTATTTTTTATTTTTATAATTTATAATTTTTTATTTCTGACTACATTTTCTTAGCAATCAAATGAGGAAATTATTTAGCTTCCTAAGGCAAAGACTTGTGCTCTAACTCGATTTTTATTGGTTTGAGCAGTGAGACCCACCACTTCTGAGACTGCCACCAATGCTCTAAGACCACCAAATAGCCTCTCAATCCAATAGACAAGGCTGACATATTAGAGGCCTTTTTTGTGAGTTCTCAATGGATTATGGTTGTCTTTATTAGTGCATATTTACTATCGTTTTGGAGTTTTCTATCTTTCACTGCCCTTTTGTGTGGGTGTGGAGACAAGTATTTTGTAACATTTGTGAACGGTTCAAGTTTCTTATTCAGGATGCTAAAACCTTCATTTAATGAACAACAAATGTGTTGGCGTGAAGAGAAGAATAAAATCTTGTCACTCTAGGCATGAGCGACTTGTGAGAGAAGACGAGACTCGAATCGGGTTCCCGGTTTGAGGGTTAGAGCCAGATTTCACTCTAGGAAAACTAGTTCCTGAAGAACCTTAGAATTTGAAATGTTGATGTCCCAAAATCACCAAACGGCATCGGATTAGCACGAAAATTGGCACACACAACCGCCTAGGCACAAGAGACTTGTGGGAGAAGACGGGACTTGAATTGGGTTCCCGGTTTGGGAGTTGGAGCCGAATTTCACTCTAGGCAAACTAGTTCCTTAAGAAACTTAGAATTCAAGGTGTTGACGTCCCAAAATTACCAAACGGGGTCAAATTAGCACGAAACTTGGCACATATGACTGCTTAGGCACGAGAGACTTGTGGAAGAAGACGAGACTCAAATCGGGTTCCCTGTTTGGGAGTTAAAGTCGGATTTCACTTTAAGCGAACTAGTTCCTTAAAAAACTTAGAATTTTAAGTGTTGACGCCCCAAAATCACCAAACGACGTCGGATTAGTACGAAACTTGGCACACACGACCGCCTAAACACGAGAGACTTGTGTGAGAAGATGAGGCTCGAATAGGTTCCCGGTTTGGGAGTTAGAGCCAGATTTCGGTCTAGGCAAATTAGTTCCTTAAGAAACTTAGAATTCGAGGTGTTGACACCTCAAAATCACCAAACGGCGTCGAATTAGCACGAAACTTGGCATACACAGCCGCCTAGGCACGAGAGACTTATGAGAGAAGACGAGACTCGAATCGGGTTCTCGGTTTGGGAGTTAGAGCTGGATTTCTTTGTAATTGTATAGTAGTTAATTTTTTTTTTTTTTTTTTTTAATTAACATATTAACACATAATTAGAGCATCTCCAATGGTGTGCCATTGGAGTTGCTATTGCCAAATTATGGCAGCAATGGATAGAAAGGCAGCTCGAATGTCAACTTCTAGCAGCTGCTATCTTTGGCAAATGCCAAAGCTTGTGTCAATGCCAAGTCATCAGCTTCAACCAACCTCCTCCTTCCCTCTCTCCCTTTTTCATCACCCTTTCCAAACACAGTTTCAATATTCGTACTCCACAGTTTCATCATCCTTTCCAAATTTCCAAACAATATTCACCCAACAATTTCCAAATTTTCAAAATTCACCCAACAATTTTGAAAATTCAAAAAAAAAATAATTTTAAAAAAATTCACCAATTTGAAGCAATTTCCAAATTCACATAGAAAATTAATTAAAATCAATTAACACAGAAAATTAATTAACACAACAATTAACACAGAAAATTAATTAAAATCAATTTCATCAATCAATTTCACGAATTTCACCAATCAAAACCAATTTCACCATCAATTTCACAGAAAATTCAAAAAAAAATTAGATGACAGTGAGGAAAAAAAATTACCTGACAGAGAGGGATGATCAATTAATTGGATGATCTTGTTTGTGTTCATCATTAGGGTTTCAATCTTTTTCATCACCGATCCATTGTAGGAGTCAGACAGAGAGTGACAGAGGAGTGAGCGAGAGAAACATAGGGTTTCAATCTTTTTCATCGCCGATCGAAGAAAGAGAGAAGAGAATGAGAGTGACAATGAGAGTGAGACTGAGAGGGATCGACACCATTGCGGGAGATAAAGGAGGTGGGTGGTCTTCGACGGGTGGTCTTCCATGTCCATGGGAGATGGAGGTCAGTTTGTGAGATTTGGAGACATGGATGATGAAGGAGGTGGGTTTGTCAGATTAATTGGAGGTGGGTTTGTGAGATTTGGAGGCATGGATGATCGATTGAGGTGGGTTTGTGAGATTTAGAGACATGGATGATTGATTGAGGTGGGTTTGTAAGATTTGGAGACATGGATGATCGATTGAGAGGGTGATTGGCAAACGGCGGAGCTGTAGAAGTAAGACAGCTACAAAGATCTGGGTTCTACGAGTGAGAGAGAGCCAGAGAGAGAGAGAGATCAAGAGAGCGGTGGGGGGTAGATAGAGACGAACAATAGAGAGAAGAGTGTCTATCTTGATGATGAAGAGAGGAAGATGATTATACAGAGAAGTAAGAGTGAGAGGGAGAGGGAGACAAAGTGAGAGTGAGATGGAGAGGGTCGGATCATTCTGGATATAGATCTCATCCGTTGGAAATCATTTACGCGGACGGTGGTGATTTAACTTGGGAAGACAAAAGAGCCGTTGTGCTCTTTTGGCCGGAAAAAAAACTCAAAAAAAAAAAAATAAAAATAAATTAATGGTTATGTTTTTTTTTTGTTTTTTTCTTTCCAAACAGTCATATTTTACATTTCTATAAGTAGAAACCTCAATCTTAATTTCATTCACAACATATATTTCTTTTCTTCTCTCTTTATCTCAATTGTATTTGACAACGAACTTTCAAAATTACTTTCAAAAATATTTTGTTTCTAGTTTTTTCAGCCAATCACTATGGAAGGATCATCAAAAACAAAGAGAGGAAAATCATTCACTACTGAAGAAGATGTGTGTAGACACCCCATTTTTTTACCGCCTTTAAGACTTGGGCGCTACTGATTGTTTACTTGGTGATCAAAGTTTTTGCAGTGCAAAGGTTCGATTTCCTTGGCAAGAAGAGCTTCAAATCCCAACTTCATACCTCTTTTGGACCAAAACCATTTTAAACAAAAATATTTTAAACTTTAAAACCCTCTCTTTCAAAATACTTTTGAAAAAGATCCTACGATGTTCCGACGCTCGCATTTTGTTAAATGTTACGTTTTTCGGTAAGCCGAGCAACGGACAAAGTGGAAATGAATGGAAGAGAGGTGAATTCTTTGAAAAATCTTTCAAAACACCTTATTTAGGGGTTTGGATTTGAAGAAAATAGGAGAGAGAAGAAAACAAGTTGGAGAAGAAGTTCGGCATGAATCCCGGTAGGATCGAAATTGAGCAGTTTTCACTCAAATGAGCATAACTTTTTGCATACTTGGAATTTTGATGTGAGGCTGCAACCATTGGAAATAAGACTTCCAGGGCTTAAATTTAGGCTCAAGAATGACCTGCAAAGGAGTCCTGATGAAGGAGACATTCCCATTTAAAGTTGGGCCCAAAAAGCAAATTTTTCTATCCAACCAGAGGTGGAAGTTTATGACCATAAATAGGATTTTTGAGCCATGTGCCAGCCATGAATGGCCAATTCCGGCCCCATGCCATCCAAAAGTGACCCATGTCGGCCATGGATGATTAAGTGCCGACCATGGATGGTAGAAAGTAATTTTTGGTAGATATTTTTGCTCTAGCTATTCCAGCTGTCTCTCTTGAGATATTTTCAACCAAAAGCTTGTATTCTTCTATATATTGAAGCCTTATATCTCATATTCAAGAGTTAGAACAATTTTGAGGAAGAAGCTTGGGAGCCTCTCTCTCTACAATTCACTCTCTCTTGCCCTTTTTGTGCATGAAAGCTTAGATACACCATACTTTTGCATACACATCCTTGATCAAACTTGATCACCATTGGGCTGAGGTCCCTTGGAACTTATTTTGGGCTGCTAAAGGTTGGTTTTGGCTCAAGAAAAGTGGTTGTTTGTTGGCTGTTTGCTGTTGTGCTTCAAGGGTGAGCATCTATCTCTTTTAAGCTTATTTTTGTACACAATCTTGGCCACCTTTGCATGCTGATTTTGGCCTAGTTGTCAACTACAAAAACCTTTGTTTTTAAGTGTTTAAAATGATGGTTTGAAGCCCCTTTGAAGCTGGCGGTGGTCCTCCTTCCTTTGTTGCTTATTTGCGAAGTGTTGAACCATCTTTTAAAGCATTTCAAACAACCTTTTTTGGGCTCTTTAACTACTAAATTCCAAATGAATTTTAGTGGTAGAAAACTTGTTTTGAGGTCCCAAATAGGAGGGGGGGAGTCCCCCCTCCTTTTGTCTTGTTAGCATGTGTTGTTGGCCTACCAAATGAGCATGTTTTTGTGACTTTTTGGACCTCCTATAACTCTGTTTTTGGCTGGTTTAGTCACCTCTTGCATGCTTCATACACTTGTAATGTAATCCTACTTGCTAGCCTAACATGCTTCATGTCTTAGCCTATATTTTTAGCATGTATTGGCTCCACCTCAGCATGTTTTTGGCCATTATTTAACATTCTCTAACTCTGATTTTGGTTGGTTGCGTCACCTCTTGCTTGGTTTTTGTACATTAGTGCAATTTCACTCATTAGCCTTGTATGCTTAGTGTTTTGGCTTATTATTCTAGCTTATTTTGGCTACACTCCAACATGTTTTTGGCATTGTTTTGACATGCTTTAGGACTGTTTTGAGTGGTCTTGGCCTCTTGGGGCTTGTTTTGTATAGCTATGACATAATTGGCTTTGCTAGTCTTGTGTTTTGAGACCCCTAGCATGCCTTATTTGTGATGTTTGTGTGATTTGGCATCATTTGGTGTGTAATTTCAGAGCTTATATCTTTGTCATACTTTCACTTAAATCACTCTTTCAATGCTTTTGAGAAGTTGAGCATTATGCCTTGTTTGTGAGCCAATACTTGAGCATATTTTTCTCGCCATCTATGCTACAAGTCTAGTATGTTTTTACTGCTATTTCGACCTGCCTTAGGTCTGTTTTGAATGGTTAAGGTCATTTGAGCATTGCTTAGTATGGTTATAGTGTAAAGGGCCTTGGCTAGCTTTGAGTTTTGGGGTCTTTAACATGTTGCATATGCGATGTTTGCATGTTTTGGCATCATTTTATATATGATTTCAGAGCATATAGTGTAGTCACACAATCACATATTCCACTCCTTTATGGCTTTGAGAGTTGTGCCTTTATGCCTTGTTTATAGGCCAATACATGAGTATGCATTTCTTGCTATTTGAGCTTCAATTTCAGCATGTTTTAGCCTCTGATTTAGCATGATTAAGCTCTGTCCACAGCTGATTTGGTTGTTTGAGCATTGTATTGCATGCCTTTAGTGTTGTGTCTTTCACTAGCCTTAATGCTTTTGGCTCTTAACATGTTGTGTATGAGTTGTTTGCATGTTATAATCTTATTTTCTCATGCCAAGATAAGCATGTTGCATTCGCATTGCACTGTGTTCAATCGGACGTCATATTGAACACAAGGTGAATTGGTCTATTTCATACTCAAAGTAATGAAAATGGGCCAATTTCTTTTGTTTCCATTTCCTTTGATCATCCATGATGAAGTAGTGGATTTAGAGTCTTATTTGCATTGCATTTATTGAATGTGTACAAGATTGGATATTTGGCCATCATGCATTTCAAATGCT